ATGGTGACCTGGAGGTCACGATATTTTTTATAAATGTTTTTTTTTTTTTTTAGTTTTTAGAGTTTAGAATTTTTGCCATCCCTTGCAATAGGAATTTCATTTGTGGCAAGATACTCCGAAGACCCCATTCCCCCTGAGCGATTTGTAGCACAATTTTAGCTAAAAAAATTGCTCAAACATCCACTCAATGTAGCTCGTCCAATGCATTTCAATGGAGTTGTTCACATCTTACATCTCAATGTCACCTGTAGCTTGTCGCTTGAACATGACCTATTTTTCAGCAGATTGTGCCATTTGGCCCAATAGACTTCAATGGTGGAGCTCAATGTCGCACAAATTTGGGCAACATTGTCGAACTACAGAATTGTCAGTTTTGCACAGAAATATAAGGAGCAGGAAAAAGAGGAATTTCATATTAAGACCGCTTTTGATTGGATACAGCCCAAAGTAGCAGCTACGAAGTCCATGCCAAATGTAGCAATATGTGAACTGCAGGTCAATGTCTCTCAAAGTTGCTCAGCTCAAATCAACACTGATGTAGCTCAGTGTGAATGGGGTCTAAGGGTTTATTACTACTAAGGCCTTGCTCACACCAAGCGCGTTCCAGGAGCAGAGCAGTTACAGACCGCAGCAAAACAGCTTCCAATGTATTCCAATGGTATTTTTAGCTCCAGTTCACATCGCAGCGTTCTGTTCCAGAGCAGGTCCAGGGCAGGTAAAAAAACTGCAGCAGGCCCTATTTTACCTGCTCTGGAACGCACTGAAAGCCCATTTTAAACTAAAAAACGCATCAAAAACACGGCAAAACCCACTGCACTGCAGAAACTCAGGCAGATACGCTCTGGTGGTGTGAACAAGGCCTAAATTGATGCAGACACCACACCTTTCCCTATCACAACACAGGAAGCCCACCAGCTGATTATAATTAAGCAAGAGCCTCCCAATCAGGGAACAGTAAAGCTGGCCATACACATTAAGGTGCCCATACACCTTACGACCATCGCAAGACTTTTGTCTTGCGATGGTCGTATGCTTCTTGAAAGCCCGTACGATCTGCCCACCTTGGACGGGCAGATCGTACTTGCGATCATCGAAAGCCCGCCCCGCTGAGGGGCGGGCTTCCGATGACGGCAATGCAGAACGGGCAGTGTGCGCGTGCGCACACCGGCCCGTTCCGCAGCTATCGGG